GCGCTCCAGACCGAGCTAGACACACACACACACACACACACACACACACACACACACACATTTTTACTGCTTTGACTTTTGACCTCCATCCAACAGGTCCAGGGAAGAGGGTCTGGAAGCCAAGATGGAGATGTCGCATGGCTAAAATACAAGGACGCTTCTCCCCGCAGAGTTTGGGGTGCAAGCACAAGTCGACAGTGGAAGCGAGCGATCGGAGGCGGCTGTCGTCAGAGAGCGCAAGAGACGCACGGCGCCAAAAGGCCTCAGCTGCGCGCTCAAGGTCAACGGCGGAAGGCGTTCTTTTTGCAAAACAAAATGCTGTCTGGCTCTTCATCTTTCACTTTCCTGTCTGAGTGTTTTGGCGCTTTTGTGAAGATTCCAACGCTCTTGTTCTCAACAGATCAACTTTTTTGCGTGACGGGTGAAACGACTTCATGTTCCTCCAAAGACGACTTTTCATCCTGACCGAATATGAAATGCAAAAGGAAAAAAACAAAAAACGACACTCTGAATTTGTTGACATCTTTCGTTTCGTCCGACTCGGACAATCGAGCCTCCCGAGACGAGTCTCGGGCGTACGTTTTCCAAGAGCCCGCGTTCTCGCCGAAACATCAAATCCTAAATCCGAAGCAAACGTCTGTGCAGTTTGGAAACATCAAAGGAGACGCCGTTTCGGGTCGGTTTTCTTCCCCATCAAAGACAATTGGGGGCTCAACTCCAATTTTCAGGAAAAGGAAGGTTGCCGTCAACGAGCGCGCGTCGGCGTGAACGCCAAAGACCGTCGCGTCTCCGGAGAAGCGAAGGCAGACCTTGATGAAGCTCTTGGCGGCCGTCCGGCACTCCCGGTAGTACTGCGCCCACGTCAGCGTCCGCCACCGGCCGTCCTCCTTGCTCGCCACGGCCGGGCGCTCCCCGAAGGCCTCCACCGTCTCCAGGAACATTTGGTGCACCGTTCGAGGCGCGTCGGCGGCCGGGCCCGACTCCTCCATCCTCAGGCGCACCGCCCCCTCCCCGTCGGCGCTCCACAGCCGCTCGGCCGGGGCCAGGGAGGCCTCCGGGGGCCTCAGCGGGACGGCGGCGAGGGGCTCTGAGGGGCAACAGGGGCAGCTGCCGTGACCGGGCGAGGCCGGGCTGTGACGCGGAGGCCCCGCCTCCCCGGCGCGGCCTCCGCGTCACCCGAGACGTTACTGGCAGCCTGCTGACTGCGCGCGTGCGCGTGGACCTGCCCGTCTGGTTTTGAAAGCTTCCAAGACATTTTGTTTGCTCAACACAAACACGGCACAAACTGGCCCCGGTTTTTGGGGGGGGGTGTTTCCCTCTGTCAGACGCACGCCGCTTACCAAGGATCCGGCAGGCTTCTTGCTTCTGAAATGATCCTACTAGCGCGGCCAACAAGCATTTACTAGAGTCATCTGTGGCACCACACACACTGCCCCCCCCCCCAAAACAAAGAACTGGGGCCTTAGTCATGACAAAGTGGCGCACGTATCCTGCTTGAGACAAGACTGATCTCATGAAGTCGCCTTCACACTCACACCCGGGGACAATTTGGAGCGTTCAATCAGCCCGCCGTGCATGTTTTGGGAACGTGGGAGCAAAGCGGAGTACCCGGAGAAAAGCCACGCAGGCCCAGGGAGAACGTGCAAACGCCACGCAGGGAGGCCGGAGGAATCGAACCCGGTGCCTCTGCACCTTGAGGTGGACGCGCTGACCGCCGGGCCGCCCTGTTCAATAAAGTGTGACAATTGTCTTCCAAATTGCTATCAGACAAAAAAACGGTACCTCCTCGTGGCTGTTGCGGCGCGGCCGAGGCTTCGCTCCGGCGCGCGTCCTTCCCGCTGCGATCGCCGACGACAGGCGAGGAATCTGCCATACTGCGACCACAAATACACAACGGAGGGAAAAAAATCACCGCTTGACTTTTCAGCTACTTGCGCACGTCACGTTACGGGACGATTTTGATCACGGATCGGGGCCTTCTGTCCCTTCCTTTGTTTTGTTATTTCCTTGGATCTTCACGGATGACGTGAAGAGAGAGAAGCGGAGAATAAATTGTGTTGAACGTGTTGCGTGCGGTCTACGTGCTCTCAGGCGGTCATCGCCGAGTCAGCGGCCGGCTTCATTTGCGAACCTCAGAATAAAATCGGCCTTGGCAGTGCTGGAACGGCTAAATGGGCAAAGCCCCTTTCCGCGTGGAAAGGAATGGAAAAGCCCGGACTTCCCTCTCCCCGGGGGATCCCCCTCGGGAAATTCAACACACCGAGCTCAAGCGCTTCCATCAAATACGCAATAACTGCCTTGGACTGTCCAGAAAACTTCATCTTGGAGCGCCACTAAACAATTCCAAACGTGGTTTTGGAAGAACGCGCGCCAACCCGCGGCAGGTCGCAAAGTCCGCCGCCGCTCGAGCCGGCGCTCGTCACATTTCATTTGGGCTTCCCAGTCCGCGCGCGTACCTGTCGCCGCCGCGTCCGCGTGCGCCCGCGAGCCCGCCGCCCGAGGCGCCGTCGGCCATCTTGCGTCGTTCCGAGCTGCCGCGTGTTGACCGAGGCCGAGATGAAAAGCCGCGAGAAGGCCCGGCCTTCGTTTTATAGCGGTCGCGTTGCAACACCGACCGCGTCCGTGTGGAAATCTCGGGATTTTGACGCCCGGACGCCATTGTGACACGCTTTTTTTTTTTTTTTTTTTTTTTTTTTTTTTACTTTTCCCCTTCCCCAACACTTTTACCCTTCACCTAAAAAACCGACGCTGAGCTAGCGCCTCGCGTTTCACAATAAACACAAACGAAGAGCCGAAAGGTGTCAAGTTGTGGTTAAATGTCCTGCAAAGACAGAAACATGATGCCAACAGCTTCAAGTTCGGCTCAGAACAATGAAGACATACTCCAAGATGATTTTTTAAGGCTACAAAAAGTCACATTTTCTTATCATTTATCATCTATTTTTATTTGTTTAGAGTGATGTTTTTTTTTTTATACAGTTCACTTTTGCTGCCCTTAGTTTTCGATGCACTGCACGTTTGCACTGCGGTTGAGAGGAAAGAAATATCAGCTGTGCAATAAAGCCGACTTGACTAAAAATAAAAAAGTTGGAAAAAGATGAATATTTTATTCCTCGAAAAATCTTTATTGAAAATTTTTTTTTTCTTTGCTGAAGAAATAAAACTATCGAAAAAATTGACAATTGAGCAAAAGACCGCTTTTTTTTCTTAGTATGATGACATTGTTGGCTAAAGTTCTTTTCTTGATACCCGCCCCCCTTTTTTTAACATGAGCGCATTCGAAAAAAAAAAACGACCTTTTCGGGAGACGACGTGCACTCGTGAAACGCCTGCTCCGCCTAGTGGACAAAAAGTTGAATGACATGTCATCAACTCAGTCTGACCTGTCGTGTGTGTGTGTGTGTGTGTGTGTGTGTGTGTTGTCACCAATTGCACTGAACTTTGCTCCATTTTCCTTCGGCCGAAAACATCTTAAGCAAGACCAGCAAAGTCTGGCCGATGGTATTTGGAAGTGTCAAATCCAGTCCAAGCAAGCAAGCAAGCAAGCGCCACACTGAACTCAACTCATCTTTCTTTCGATTGCACTTCTGGGGCGATAAGGGCAAGCGGGCCCAAATCAAGTTGCTCTCGGAACATTCGTGGAAGCGCGTCAACATTTTGCGTTTGGAAAAAAATGTCGATATTGTTGGAATGAACGCATGATATCATAAAGCGGGTCAACGTGATTTCTTTTCTTTTTTAATGAGTCCATTTTAGCGAAACAAAAGAAAAAAGTAGGATTTCAATGGAGGGGAATAATATGACTACTCTGGTGTTGTCTGGAGAATATTCACATTTTATTCGTGACACTACTTTGAAAAAATATGAATTGCTTCTTTAACAGACAAAATGACATTTTCATTGTGTCAAAACAACTTTTTCAATATTTTTATGGATACAATTCACGTGTAATACTTCTTTCTTTGATTAAAAAGCCAACTTTACTTTTTCAAAGTCTGTTTTCTTGTGGGGAAAAAAATAATCTTTTTCTTCAAATAGACGCAAACAACTTGATTGTCACATGACAGTTATTTTGTGTTTTGTTTTGTTTGTTTTTTGTTTCTGCCCAAACTCACGACGCGGACCGGCAGAGGAAGGACGTAGCGCGTGTGCCAAGCATCGACGTGCGGACATGGAAGAAGACAAAGTGCAGCGGCGAGCCATCTTACCTCCTTGCGGGGAATCGCTGGAACTCGCGGAGAAGGTTGGGCCGGCCTGAGCGACCGCTTCGCGAGGCCTCCGTTTTTGACCGACGCAAAGGCCGCGCGCGGGGCACGCCATTCCCTCGGTCCTGCCCACTTGGCCGGCAGGACGGCGGCACCCTCTGGGGTGGGGGTGCGGTGGGGGGGAGGAAAAAAAATAAAAAATCATCTGCCAAGGTCGCGACTCGCCAAGGTGACGAAGACCCGCCAGCAGGCTTGTTTGTGTTCGTCAGCTGACTCAAGTTGACACTGCTGACATGACACCAGGCTACACCGGGACGCGAAACGCAGTGTTGGCAGGTCATTTTTCACCCACATGTAAGATCGTTTTTCTGCTTTTTCTTTCATTAAACACACACACACACTTTTTAATTGATCGAACTAGAAAAATGCAGGAGATGCTGCCGGCCATTGCTCACACAACACAAGACTGGCCCCGCCCCTCGAAGGCACTCGCACGTACACGGCAACATGACGTCGGGTAGCGTTTGCTCTCCGTTCCCTTTTTGTTCCAATCCATTCCCATGATGGTTGAAAAGTGTGTCGGAATCATTTTAAAGCGGGCGTGAGGGCTCAAAATCCTCAATCCAACCGGACGCAGTGCCCACCATAAAGGGCCGTTCACTGCATTTCCAGAAATAGCTACGAGACGACATGAAGGTTAGGGGAACGCTTCCGGTCGACCGCATCACGTGTCTGACGTTCAAGAGAAGAAAGTCGTTTCTGAAATTTCGTTCATACGAAAGCTATTTGCTTGCGTGCCGTTTGGTCTGCTTTCTTCTTTTTTAAGGGAACGGGCGGGAAAGTTTAGCCTTGTTTCCACCTACGCACATTAACCTTACACACACACACACACACACACACACACCACAAGTCCAAGAATCACACCACATGTGACCCCACATAGCACAGAGCTTGCGTGTCAATGATTGTCCAGGTCGCTCCTCACTGCCAACTTGACTCCAGGACGGAAACGGGAAACATTTCGGACAAGACGACGGAAGCTCGCGCTTGCCCCTTGAGGTTAAAGAAGGCATTTTTCTCTTCCATTTTGGAAGATATCTCATACATGTCGATTTATAGCACTGCAACTGCAACAAAGCATTTTACAGAAGAGCACGTTCCATCCGCAAGGCAACGCGATGTGCTTCACACAGCACCAAAAAGCATTTCCGAATACCTTCGCGGAGCAAAGAGACCGAACGTAGCTTCTTCAAAGAACGAGAAACGAGATGTATTGTATATACAAAATGTGGTCTTGCCTCGCCTGCAGTGATATTGTTCCCAAATTTAAAAAAAAAAAGTCAACATTTTGTGAATTTTTATTTTTGCTGTTTTGCTGATACAAGTAGAGGAAATATACTCACATTGCACGTTGTCAACAGGTAGTACTAATCTACGTAAGCATGCATGCGTTCATCCCGGAGGCCACGTCATCTGTCTGCCTCCCAACACGTGAAGGTGAAGATGGTAGACAGACTGAGCGCCGTGTTTGCCGTCGTTGATGACTGCAGAGCACAACAACTTGATCAAAACAACTCTTCAACTCTTTCCCCGCGTCAACGGGCCACTCACCCACTCGATAACCTTCCGTGAGCGCTTCCTGCTTCGCCACCTTTTTGGCCACGACCAGCAAATGGCCCAGCAGCTGCACGGGGACAGCGGAAACTCACATTTCATGCTTTTCTTCACACGTGGAGCGGGGCATGACTCAATCCCGCAAGGCTTCCAAAAGGTGGGACTTTTTCTTTGAGAATGATGACTTGAGGGCAGGCGTGTCCAGCTCCGGACCCGGAGGGCCGCCGCGCCGCCTGTTTTGCAGCTCTCCTGATGCAACACACCTGATGCAGACGATCAGCTCATCAGCCAGCCCTGAAGCAGCATTACAACGTTCCTGATGATTTGAATCGGGTGCGTTGCTCTCGGGAGAGCCGCAAAACGGGCAGGACGGGCCGGCGGTCCTTGAGGACCCACTTTGGACACCCCTGCTTTCGGGCAATTAGTATTGTGTGGGAACTTCATGATGGACATTCAAAAAAAAAAATGCCTCTCTCTCCATCTCACCTCAGCGTCGTCATCTTTGGCTTCACTTATCCTGGGAATGAGCATCTTTGGGATAACCAGGAAATGAACTGGAGCCTGTGGACTGATGTCTCGAAAAGCCAGACACTGGGAGTGGAGGGCACACGCACGCGTGCGCAAGCACACACACACACACACACACACACACACACACTTAATTCCAAGGAGATTTCATTGTTGATTTACAAGCACATGCGTACCTTGTCGTCCTCATATATGATATCTGCAGGGAGGCTTCTTTCAATCACTTTGGAGAAGATAGTGGCAGCCGGGCGGCCAGATTTCTTACCGGCCTTTTCCGCCAGTCGTACTTCGTCACTTCCGGTGCACAGAGCTCGCTGAAGAAAGGGAGCGCAAATCAAAAAGAACGCTCAAACACGCGCTAACAATATTACGTCACTGTCTCGAATCGAACCACATTATCATAGGATTAGAATTTCAAAAAGAGCCAGCTCGAAATATGACAAAAGAGAATAGCTACCCGGGCTCCGCAAACAAGTTGCAAACCGCCGAATAGGGCCGCCGTTCGGCTCGGAAGCAAGCAGGTTCGGAGAATATGCCGGTAAAACATGGCCAGAGGCGCCATTGTTGTCCTTCTCCAATATGCCCACGTCAAAGCGCGACGTCCTCAAACAGAAGCACGCAGGAGGTTTCGAGTTTCCTCGGGGAAGCTCGTCGTCGCTGCCTTTGTGTTGCCTTCAAGGCACCTCGTTAACTTGACATTCGCACTCGATATTTGTCGATATTTGTCACAAACTAAGAGTTTTTTTTCTTTTGAATTATTTAGCCATGTTTGGGGAAAGATGTATCACGAATGACATTTTAACGCGTACCAAAGTATTGAAATACAACAGCTCACACTTGACAACAGGGGGCGCTGTTGTCAAGTGTGAGCTGTCCTCGTCTCCCTTTTCGCGAGAGGGAAACGAAGAAGGGGGGAAAAAAACATGGCGGCCCGCACAAGGCTGCCCTTTCGCCTTCCCCTAAACTTGGCGACAAAGCACAGGCTCGTCCACGGCGAGGCGACGGCGGTCAAGGAGGCCGTCTACCCGCCCGTTAAGCCCTCTCTCACGGCCAAAAGCAAATCGGCCCGGGCGCGTCAGGTCGAGGAGCAAGTGGAGCGGATAAAAGCCTCCCCGCCGCAGGATAAACTGCGGCTCCTCACGCGCATCGAGCGCAAAAAGTACGTCGTCTACCCGCAGACGTTCGCGCGCAACGCGGATAAATGGTACCAGCACTTCACCAAGACCGCGTACATCGCCGGCTTGCCCGAACAACTCGGCGCTGATCGGCGTCGTGCCGCCGGGGAGAAGGAGAAAGATGTGGAGGAGAAGGAGAAGGCGGCGACCGAAAAGCTCGACATTGGCGAGGAGGCGTTCGACGAAATCCGCTCGGCGGTGACTCGCGTGATCCTCCACGACCACTGGCACCTGATGAGACGTCGGCCGTTCGTGTACCGACGACAAGAGCTCATCGAGGGGCCCTTTCTGAGGAGCTTGGTCAAAGCCTTAACGTACGGCCTGGCCAAACACAACCCGCTGCTTCTCCACTCCAGCATGGGTAGAAAACGTCCCATTGTCTACGAACGCACGCACGGTTTACAGCTTAACCCGAGTCAAGTCTCTTTTCTTTTTTTTTTTTTAATTTACTCGTTCCATGTCCAATGTTTCAGTGCATTGTGCACACATTTGGGCTCTCGAACAAGGAGCTGAAGTCGTTCAGCTCCCGGTTGGAGAACGGAAACATTTGACATGTGCGTTCAGAGAACGTTCCGATTAAGTTCACCTGCAGAGGGTTCGGGCGTTTTTGAGGTTGAGCCTGAAAATTCAGATGAGAGCCCCAGATGTCAAACTTTGTGGGAGGAGCGCAAATGCTGCCGTTGTGTCTCGTCAGATATGAATCCCCAGGTGGGCTTCTACTGGAGAAGAGGGGAGAGGATCGTCCCGAGGGGCCACAGAAGGGGGAACCTGGAGCCCATCAGGTTCCAGATTGACGACCGCCCGCTCTGTCAGATTCGAATCACGCGGCAGCTGCCTCAGGTTAGGCCTCGCTTACGAACGCACGCACGGTTTACAGCTTAACCCGAGTCAAGTCTCTTTTCTTTTTTTTTTTAAATTTACTCGTTCCATGTCCAATGTTTCAGTGCATTGTGCACACATTTGGGCTCTCGAACAAGGAGCTGAAGTCGTTCAGCTCCCGATTGGAGAACGGAAACATTTGACATGTGCGTTCAGAGAACGTTCCGATTAAGTTCACCTGCAGAGGGTTCGGGCGTTTTTGAGGTTGAGCCTGAAAATTCAGATGAGAGCCCCAGATGTCAAACTTTGTGGGAGGAGCGCAAATGCTGCCGTTGTGTCTCGTCAGATATGAATCCCCAGGTGGGCTTCTACTGGAGAAGAGGGGAGAGGATCGTCCCGAGGGGCCACAGAAGGGGGAACCTGGAGCCCATCAGGTTCCAGATTGACGACCGCCCGCTCTGTCAGATTCGAATCACGCGGCAGCTGCCTCAGGTTAGGCCTCGCTTGATCGCGCCATCCTCAAAAGGGCTCGCCCTCGACGCCGATTCTGACGAGAACTGATCAAATGCGAACATGTTAGCGGGATCACGGCCGGCCGAGTACGGAAGGACTAAAGCAGATTGACGACGATTTAAAATCCGGCCCAGACAGCTGTCACAACAGAAAACAAGTTGAAAACGCGTACAAAAATTTAAAAAAAGCACCGAGGCAGATTGATGAGAATTGTAGGAAATGAAATCATGCTAATAATCAATTGAACTCAATGCGTAAGTATCAAAGCTATCGTCATTGCAACGACTGCTTTGTCATTTGACACTGGGGCTGTCCAGCGTCGGTCCTCGAGGGCCGCCGTCCCGTCCTGCGGCTCTCCCGGGAGAGCCGCAAAACGGGCGGGACGGGACGGCGGCCCTCCGGAGCCGGACGTGCCTGTTTTACGCCATCTTAATTGTGCCCAAAACGGCGTTGTCGACTGACCGTGCGTCCGCCGAACCCAGTTGGTCCCGATCGAGGCTTCTTACGACGCCGACGTCCCCGAAGTTCCGTACGCTCCCGACCGGCTGCCGCTGTTCAGGAGGCAGTACGCCAACACCATCTTCACAGGTGAGCCCCCGCTTCTCGTGCGGCGCCGCGCAAAGCGTCTCGGGGTGTCATCAGATGCGCGCGTGGCGGCGGCGGCGCTCCCGACAGGTTCCAAGGCGCCGGACCCGGCGTGCTACGGTCACACGCAGTTCCACCTGGTGCCCGATCGCTACCACAGGGATCGCCTGGCCCGTCGCCGGCAGTCGGACCAGGTGGAGGTGTTCCTCAGGGCCAACGCCATCGCCAGCCTGTTTGCGTGGACCGCCGCGCAGGCCTCCTACCAAGGTGCGGCACCCAAATGTTCACGACATCGCATCGCTCTTTTCACGCAGATTTGAAAGTGGACATTTTGAAAAATAGCACTGAGCAAAAACAAAAGCCCCAAAGACGAAAACAATGAAGTGACTTGAATAGTTTTCCGTGATTTTTTTAAACACTAAAACGTAATGTAGTGTCACCAATATTTCATAGAATAATCCAAAATAAACTCGAGCTGCAACCACCGACAATCTGTTGATTATTTTGTCGATGAATAAGGTTCAAAACTAGATCTATTCCAAAATGGGGCCGTGTTTCAAGGAACAGATCGCGACAATTTGACATTGAAGTTCTCAAAAACGATCGATTCTCAAAGTGAATATCAAATGAATCGATAATTAACTAGTTGGTGATTCATCGCTCGCTTCACCGCGACAAGTAATGTGCATTTACTTGTCGACTAAATTCATAAAAGATACGTTTCTTTTCAAACGTTTTAACTTGTATTTAATGGTTTGTTTTAATATTTATGAAGTGAGCGAGTGAAAGGCGGGTTGGGGTGATGCTGACGTGTGTCTGATGTGGCTCTTAGTCTCTAACTGGTTGGCCACCCCTGGTGTACGCATCGCATTTTGATCCTATGTCAAGAATGGTTCGTTTCGAAAGACTTGATGTCATTTTTCAACACCTTAGGTTTCTGGAATCACGAGGACGTGAGCAGAGCGTTCGTGTCACAAGCGGTGGTCAGCGACGGCCGCCACTTCTCCTTCTTCTGCTACCAGCTCAACACCCTGGCGTTGTCCGCGCGGACCGACGTCGGCAACGCCCGCAAGAACCTCCTGTGGGGCAGCGAGAGCGTGCCCCTCTACGACGGCGTGGAGGACGGCCGCGTGCTGGGCCTCAATGACCGCGCGCTGCTGCTCCTGGTGCGTTTCCTGCTCCGTCGGCCCCAAGACGACGTCCCCGTCGGGACATGAAGGAGCGGGAAGTTGGACCAAAATAAAAGAAATAAAAGGAAAAACTCACCACCTTCTTTGTAGAGCAGTAAAAGTGGCTTGCGTGCAATTACATGCGAAAAAGTGATTGTTAGACACCAGCTCGTCTTGGTGACACACTGATTTTAATGACAGCGTTTAGCAACACCGTCAATGAAATGTGAGCCTCTTCACACAATGAAAGACATGCAGCTCAGTATGTACCGCATATGGAACAGGAAAAGTGGATTGGCACCGACGATGATCCCACATAACAAAAACAAAAAAAAAAAAATCAAATCATCACCCAAAATGATGAGTGCTCACCACGTTCTCCAGCGACATGCACCTCGACATTGAAATCAGTTGAGAAGATTTGCACTCAGTTCCGGTGCGGTTGTTGCCTTTTGCCTGCGCTCCGTTTGCTTCTTCGTCATACTCGGTCGGGTAGAGACGTTGGATTGGGAGCTACGCTGGAGCTCTCCAATCCGCGTGCAGTTCGTTGCTTTTGGTGCGTGACGTTTTCAAGCCTTGCGTTGCCTGGCCGAGGGCTTTTCTTCCAGCCCGTTGCGTTCTCCCGACGCCCTAAGAGGTCACCAAAAAAATAATAATAATAATCAACGTCCGCGAGAGAACCAGGCAGTGCGTGGCGGCGGCTACTCACGCGGCGGACGACGACGGCTCGCCGTTGGTCGGGGGCTCCGCGTTTTCCAGCGCGTTCCCCGAGGCTGATTGGTCAATACAAAAGATGACTTCTTTACACGCTGTCAAAGCATGCACGATAACCGCCTCCAAGCGTGAATGCGACAAGTTGATGAGTTAGCTAGCTGGTAAAAGTTGTTTAGACACACGTCCAGTTAGTCAGTTCATTCGACAATGAGTTAGATACCCGAGTTCCTCGGTTCTTAAGATATTTAGTGAACGACGATACCTTTCTCGTAAGTTAGTTCGCCAATCAGACATTTTGTTGGCAAGTAAGTAACAGTTGGTTAGATGTCGAGCTAGAAGTGGCAATGCAGGTCCATCAAGTGAAAAAAATCCTGCCACAGTTTGCTTTTAGTCACAGGCACTTGCACTCAACCGGCAGTTCAACGAGCTCCCCGGGTCGAAGCGCCTGTGGCTGAAACCAAACCGTGGCAAGAGTTTACTCGGGTTGGGGGGAAAAAAGGCGACCAAGCGACTTAAAAAAATGGTTTCCCCCCGCCATGTGGCATATCTCCGAATTACTATTGCTAGTTAGAATCTAGTTACCGCAACATTTACTTTGGCTTGTCACCTGTTAGCTAACCAGCTACATTTAATTGGCTAGCTTGTGAAAGTTCTTTGGTTATTGAGAAATAATAATACTACAGTGGTATCTCTTCGTACGAAATGTTCAAGTTACGAAACCTCTCAACAGGAAAATATTGCCTCTTGTTACAAAAAACATTTCAAGATCCAAAAGGTAAAACTACAGTATGGCCTGCTACTCGCAGCTCCAAGTTTCCGACTTATAACTGCTCTGCCATTGGCTAATACCGAGCATCATCCTGGCATCTCATTGGCTAAGAGGGACTTCTACCGCCGTTTTCTACGCGTGTCGATAGAGAAATAGGTCGATAGGCGTCTGCGACTTCCCGATAGTTTTACGTCTATGTGAATCACCCAGAAAAGGTGCTCACCAGTCTGGCGATCGCTCACTATGCTGACGTTTGCCTTGGATATTTTCGGAGGTTTGCTAAAAGCCGGCAAAAGCAAACGTCCTTGGATCAGTTCTTTATAAAACGCCAGGCAAAAGGCAAAAACCACTCATGAGAGACAACGTGAACTAAAGAGGGCAAAAAGTCGATGAGGACGCAGTTAAGTTTAATGACCGCCATTTTTATTCTTTATTCTTTGTTTTTTATATGACGCACAACTTTTGTTTATTGTGCAATGATCTAATTTTAACATGTATTTGTTACATGTTACAAATGCATTTTTATGCTTTAGGAAAGATTTTTGTCCGAATTTGGGGGGCTTGGAACGAATTAGGGCATTGACATGGAAAACACGTCTCTACTTACAAAATGTTCTCGTTAAGACATTTCTTCCAGAACCAATTCATTTCGTAGCTAGAGGTACCACTGTAATAAGAGTATTCCAGTCCGGTTGTCCTGAACAGCAGAGGTTTTTTTTTTAATTTCCCTATTTATGTTACGACGACAAGCAAATGTTGCTACGAGAAGGCACGGGCGTTGCTCATGTTATGTCCAACATACTTTGGTGCGCTTGGCCCTTCTTGGAGCGACTCCTTTCAAAGAGCAAGATGGCTGCCACCAGGACAAGGACCTCCAGTACGATGGCGACGAAGGGCTTCAAGGGCTCGTAAACGGTGATCACCTTTTTAGTATGGACCAAAATAGAACCAAATGAATTAGCCCGTGAGATGTAGCTGCAAACGTTCAGGTGAGCTACCTTTAGCTGCAGGTGGCCGACGGCCGCGCCGAGAGCAAATACGGCGTTGCAGAAGAACAGAACCGAGTCGTCGCGGCTCAGATTGTACACGTGCAGCTTGGCGGCCCTGCCGTCGTTTTGGATTTGGTACTTTTGAGGTTCCCCCGAAGCATCGATCAGCTCCTAAAACAAAAGCGGGAAATGCCACAGAAACATCAGTGAGGGGGAGGGGAGGGTGGGAGGCATATGGAACAGCAAACTTCAGTCAGGTGTTTTGGTCACACGTTGTCGCGCAAGATGTTTGCCGTATTTTCCCGACTATAAGCCGCTACATTTTTTTTCCTCCCAAACTCTGAACCCCGCAGCTTTTAATGCGACGCGGATTATTGATGGATTTTTATTGACGAACGTCAAACCGTCCATCGATTTACCCGATCTCGTGACACGGCTTTTAATCCGGTGCGTTTTGTAGTCCGTAAATTACAATCCTTTTATTGATCATGGCCGCATTAAAAAAAAAAAAAAAAAGATGAATTAAAAAGTCTATGAAGTAGAAGCCCATCCAGGTATCAATAATAAATTAAAGTTAAAGGTATGGAGTTATGAACATTAAACATTTGTGTTGAGAAGGAAAATGTGGGCGTGACATATATTTAAAAAAAAACCCACAGGGACTGATGGATGGAAGGAAGGATCGTATCGTGTGGTGTTTGCTGAATTTCTTCTGAAACTTGAGCGAGAACCGTCAGTATTTTCATCAAGATTGAAGACAGAAAGGTCCGAGGTGTAAAAGAAAGCAAAAGCAAAGGCTTTGAACACCTTGTCGGTGCCGTTGCCTCGAAACCACAACCAGCTTCGGGGTTCGGGCTTGCTGTCGTCCATCTTGCACACCAACACCACCGAGTCCCCGACGTAGCTGACCAGCGGCTTGTCCCGCACGTTGCCCACGTGCGGCACTGGCGGGAGCAAAGTGCAAAAACAAAAAAAAAAAAAACATGCCCATCATCGTCACGGGAGACTGCAACTTGAGGAGAGATTGCTGGCGAAAGCTAAATTCGCCACCAAAATGCTTGCAGACATTGACTAAAAGCACCACAACGCTGCACAGTGCAAGAAAAAGAGTTTGGATCATTGAAATGAGTGTCTCCATTTCCACTTGAAATGAGGAATAAAAGCTCAGTGAAAACATCGTTTTGCAATTACAGTAGATGGCGTTTTTTCACTCGTGATGGCGAAAACTCACCTGCCAAAATGAAATCGACCTTTGCTTCATTTCCAAACATGCACGAGTACCTTCCCAGATTTTCTTCATCTTTGATGATGAACCTCGAGAAGCAACAGAGAGCAGACAAAACCATTTGTTGGATAGAGAGTTTAACTCGTCACCCCCCCCCACACACACACACAGGATGTATCAAAACACTTTTCGACTGCAAACGGTCACAGTGCTCGCTGTCATATGTTCTTTATCCTCCGTGTAGATGGGCAGAAAGGAGTTGCCACGTCTCACCGAAGGCTTGGTATTGTCTGCAATCGGCGGGCACGTCAGACCGAGCGGCGCGACGGCCCTTGAATTGCTGCACAATTTGGGGCCTTTTTATCGAGGTCATCGCCGCTGTGTTCTTACAACCTGCCATGTTTTGGAGAGCGAGCGAGCGAGCGAGCGCTCTTCCTCTGGCTCGCCATTTCGGGTGCTTAGGCTGACCGCCCCTTGGTTGGCGTTGGTCACCGCGGCAGTAGTTGGGGAGCAAAAGTCTTTTCGAGGGACTTGCTCGGCGGTGTCAAAAGTTTGAGACGCGCGGCCGCCGCCGTCTTACGTTCTGGTGAGCCGAAACGGCCGCTTCTCCGGCTCCAGCGTCACGTGACTGCCGGCAATATCTCGCCCGTCTTTTCTCCAGAATGCCGTCACGTTGGCCGCCTGTTTGCCGTTCTGCGGCCAGTTGCACTGCAGCGTCAGATTGACGGGACTTGACACTTCCACTTTGGCCGTGTGGCTTTTACCTATGGGAAAAAAATAGTCCACCCCCCCCCCAAAAAAAAAAAAAAACGTCACACCACCACAATATCTCTACTTAAGCAAATGTTGTGTCCTTTTTTTCCCCCCCTATGACCTTTCAGGAACACACTCTGCACATCCGATGGCAAATGGCCACCAAGCTCCACCGGGGTCAGCGTCTCGCCAACCGTCTCTGGCAAGAAATACAATCCGAAGTGGACAGTAAAGGTCGGCTCCACTGCATTGCGGCTTGTTTGTGCCCCCCCCCCCCACACACACATACACTAAAAGCGCCGATTTTCAAATGAAATTTTTTTTTCAATCAGTACACGGTTAATTTTCGAGGGACGCTGAGGTACGCCGGCACAACGGGCAGCGTCGTCAACAGCAAGAAGAGGCGGAGAAGCCGCAGTTACATTTGCTGCTCCGCGTGTGTTTCAAGTCACTTCGAATTAGGTTAGGCCAAAGTTCATTTGTACAAATTCAGGTCTCGAATGAAGTCCTTCACCGCTAAAGTCGTGCTCGCCGCTGTCTTTGGCCACAACGTGAGGAGCAACAGTACCGAGCGTGCAGTCAACTTAAAGCATGCCTCGATCAAAACGGGGCGTTCAATCAATCAATCAATCAAGAAAGAAAGAAAGAAAGAGAGAGAGACATAGCATGGAAACAAAACGGAGTTTGCTTGTTTTTTTTTTTTTTTAGCACAAGGTTAAGTGGCTTGAAGGACGCGGCGTCCAAAGTCACCGCAGCGCCCCTCGCACCCGCCACGTACGAACGCATTTACTGTACTTGCGTTGCCGCGTCCGCAGCAGGCCAGCAGCAGGAGCATCCAGGAGGCCGGCATCCCGATGACGAGGAGGAAGGCTCAAGACGTCGCGCGAGTCCTCAGTGGCTCTCCTCCTCCCCCTCCTCCTCCTCCTCAGCCTCTCGCCTATGATCCGCGGTGACGTCAGCGCGCGTCACGCGGCCCTTCTTCGCGCGACCTGAGTCGGGAGGGCGTACTATCCTGAGGATAAGTGTCATATTTTGAATCGTTTCAGAACTGCCAAGACAGGTCCACATGAAACGTCACGACTGGATTGGGGAATGAGAGCGAAAAACGGGCAAGGTTTTGAAAACGGGTCCGATTCACAAACAAGCCGAGAGCGATCAGGCTGAATGAAGTGTTTTGAATCCACCGAAAAATGTGGAAGGGGGTCAACGATCTCGGCTTGATTTCGGAATGCGTCGAGAAACGAGTTGACGTCATTCACTGCGTGCTCACTCTGCATCTCAAATCGTCTTTCCTCCTCGAAATAAAAGAACGCAGCGCGAGTACGCTGCGATGTTGTCCAAGAATCACAACCAATGTCCTTTGCGCATCCTGATTGGACGCTCCCGCCGACGTGGTCGCAGTCGCGCACAAGCCAAGCAAGAGCGCGGATTCATTGAAAAGACGTCGGCACCGCAGCACCGTCGAGAACACGCTCTTGGCAACTCAAATCACTTCCTGCTTTCCTTTTCTTCAGCCAATCAGACGCTACCAACATCAGCGCATATCTGAGCAATTATTAAACACCAGAATGCAATTGAGGTCATCTTAACATGAAATAATATGATGCTCAAACATAAAATGATCACCGATCATAGAACGAGCTCACAAAAGTAACAGGCCGCGGACTGAAAAAGCTCACAGACGCCGCAAAGATGCTTGAGAAAAAAACCCTGAAGAGTACAGTGCATACAAGCAAACTGACATCATCGGAACCCGCTCTTGTAGAACGGCAGCGATGTTAATCTAAAAATTAGCCTCAAAAATTTTAAGACTCGCTTACTCTCCACTCGGGAACACAAACAGCTCCAAACACCAAAATATGAAACACAGAAACGTGAGAGGGAAAAAAAAGGCCCTCTCACCCGAAGCGTGCGCGGTCGGTTGATGGAGCGCTCGAAATTGTCTCGAGTTGCGATCGCGTGTGCCGACGGTCGTTTGTCTGCGTGTTCCCCGCGATGGCCGGCGACCAGTCGAGGTCCCCCGCCTGCCGGGACGGGCTGCGGGCCCGCCCGCGACCCTCCTGAGCAGAAGCGGATGGATGAATATTCGATGTCAAGAAGAGATTTATTTGCTCTTCTGGTTCGTAAAGAAACACTTTCATTTCACTTTTTCTTGGTGTTTTTTTCCCGAAACACAAATGAGTCTGTTACTTACGAGCACCATAGCAGGTCGAAATCAGGGGTGTCCAAAGTGGGTCCTCAGGGGGGGGCCGCCGTCCCATCCTGCCTGTTTTCGGGCTCTCGTGGGACCAACGCACCTGATTCAACTCATCGGGATGGTTCGAATGCTGGCTGACGAGCCGCTCATCTGACTCAGGTGCGTTGCGGCAAAACAGGCGGGACGGCGGCCCTCCGGAGCCGGAGCTGGACGTGCCTGGTCCAGTGGCGGTTCGGGGGGCGCCAACGGGGGCCAGTGCCCCTGTAGCACTGATTCTG